TTTTTGATAAAAGAAGGTTTTAGGTTTTGGATTGTGCTATATTCCCCTAAAACTCAAGGGATGTGGCAGATTTGATGGAGTGCTCTTAACTATTGTTGAGATGTGCTGTTATTTCAAAAGTAAGGACAGAAACAATAGGAAGATAATTAATCTCACTTAAACATAAATCATGCTAGTGTCTTAGTGCAAAGGAAAATGATTTAGAAACCATTTTTATGTATAACTTTCATACAATCTTATAAGTCATGTTATTTAATGATTGACTTGGTTAACTTAAATTAATGTCTAGTATTGAAATCTGGAGCTCTACCTCCTATTTTTAAAACTGACTTCGGTACTTCTAGAGTTTGTTTAAGCAGGACATCTAGATGAGATCGGTTGTCTTTCTATTTCAAAATATATAGATGGTACTGAACGTTTCTTGGTATGCAAAGATTAGAGATGGAATCCTAAATGACAATACAAAAACTCTTGCCATTGGAACTAGGATTAGGGTTTCGTCTCCCTGTTGTGTGGGTCACTTCCTCTCCTCTATAGGAGTTTCTTTTTCATTTTTCCCTTTTGTTTCTTTGCTTTTATATATCTATACAAGCTTTTGTTGTTTCTTGTGCTTCCTCTTTGAGCTTTTCATGGCAATGTTGGTAAGAGAAGGAGCTGCAGCTTTGAGAGGGTTAGGTGTTTCAGAGCGGAGTGCATTAGAAGCCAAGCTTCTGGTGGCTCACAGATTGGGAGGATTACAAGCCAAACTTTCTGCAAAGCCAGCTTTGTTTTCCTGGTAATGAGGGAGACAATTTCGGTTATGGCTGAAGAGAAGCATAGGATGCAATGGTGGTGGTCTGACTGTTCTTTGTAGGGAATTCGATCTAGGGTTTCATTTATGTGTGCCTTATCCAAGGACAATATATGATTATGGATGGCCACATAAAAGAGTGAAAAAGAGGATACAAGAATTTGGAGAGGATAGGCTGTGACTTTGGCAAGACATTACAATGGAGAGGAACCATTTTATTTGCTCTCCCCTTTGTATTGGCATTGCCGGTGTAGTTACTCAAAAGCTCTAGACGCTGTGTAGCATTCTATGTTACAAGAATTTCTTTTTATTTGCTCTTCCCTTTGTTTTTGGCATTGCTGGTGAGTTTACAGCCTAGATAACTAGTATAAACATATGCCTTTTCCCCTTCATGATATATA